GTCCCGGGCGAGCGCAGGGCGCGCGCTCCCGCTAGGGGGCGCCCTGCTCGGATGACGTCACCCCACCCCAGCTGCGGAGCGGGGCAGCGCCCGAGCGCCCGGGTTCTCGCCGGGGCCCTTGCACCGCCAGCTGGGACCCAAGCGGTAGCGCGCTGGACAGACGGCTGGCGGAGGGGAGAGAAGAGGTTCTGGAAGCTTCCGAGGGCCGGAGGTGCGGGGGAGGGGAGCCCAGCGGGCTGTTATCTTTAGGTCCCCGCCCCCCCCCCCCCCCCCCCCGCATCCGGGCCCTGCCCAGAGGCGAGATGCCCCTTCATTTCCTTTGGAAGCGCATTAGACACAGATAGCCCCATCTTTTGGTTTTGGGGGACCAGGGGTTTGCTCCCAGCACCCCATCCAGGTGGTCCCCAGAGCCTGCCAGGAGTGATCCCAAAGGGCAGGGGGAGTTGTTTTGTTGGGGGAGGGGAGAGGAGTTGGGGCCACACCCGGCGATGCTCAGGGATGACTCCTGGCTCTGCACTCAGGAATCCCTCCTGGCGGTGCTCCGGGGGACCGTGCGGGATGCCAGGGATCGAACCCGGGTCGGCGGCATGCAGGACAGAGGGGGTGAGTAAATAAGTAGGCTGTGCGGCCGCAGCTGGTACCCTGCACAAGCCCCAGATGGACTCGTAGGCTCTGAGTGGAATGGCCAGTGGCGACCACGGGGAAAGAGCTGGTGCACAGGCCCCGGCTTTGTGAGGTGGTGCTGACTCACTGAGCACACACCCAACCATGGGTGGGGGGGTGGAGAATGCCAACTGGCTCGGGGTCAGGAAGCACCAGGTCTCCTGAGGCATGCAGGGGGTCTGAGTGACACATCCTTTCCTGGGGGAGGGGGGCAGGGGAGGGGTGAGGGCACCGAGCCGGACCCAGGTCATGTGGAGCTGAGCTCATGGAAACCCAAGCTAAGGACATGGTGAGGGGCACTGGGGGTCCAGCCCATCACAAGTACCCGTCTTCACTGACCACGGACTTGCCCCGGGAACCAGTGTCAACCGCCGTGTGAGTTCTGCAGGCCGGACTTCCCCCTCAGCAGCTTGACTTCAAGGCCTGCTGGCCGGTCCAGGGCTGTCTCTTTAAAATGACTCTGCATTTCTCCGTTCACATCCATATTGAGTGACTGTCATGGACGGATTTGTTTTGGGGGCCCACACCCAGCGGCGTTCAGGGCTTACTCTTGGCTCTGCCCTTTGGGATCACTCCTGGCAGGCTCTGGGGACCACCTGGATGGGGTGCTGGGGAGCAAACCCTGGTCAGCCACAGGCAAGGAAAATGCCGAACCCCTGGAATATCTCTCTGCCCACCCAACTGCCATCGTATGACATTCTAGGGAGTATTTCCTAATAATTGGAACTTTCCTATAAAACACCACCCCTTCCCCATCGTATACATTAATTACGCTCTTCACATATTCAGCCCAAAGGTATAGCCGAGGAGACAGAAAATAAGGCTTCACTTCTGTGAATGACTGCAGATTTTCCCCTTTTCCAACCCAATTCCATGACCACTGATTCTGCTGGGGTGTTTAGTTTTCCCCAAAGCTCCGAGGGCCCATGCTTTGTATGCAGGGAGACTCGGTTTGATTCCCCCTGGTACCACACGGACCCCTGAAATGGGATTAAGCCAATGAGCACCACCAGGTCTACCCCCAAACTAAATATTCAACAGGAGGGAGCTCGGTTTCCGTGGCAGCCACCCCAGGGAGACCAGCTGCTGAGCAGCGTCTGGTATGTCGGGTTAGAAATGCCGCAGAGGGGGCTGGAGCCATAGCACAGCGGGTAGGGCGTTTGCCTTGAACGCGGCCGACCCGGGTTCGATTCCCAGCATCCCATTTGGTCCCCTGAGCACTGCCAGGAGTGATTCCTGAGTGCAGAGCCAGGAGTAACCCCTGTGCATCGCCGGGTGTGACCCAAAAAGCAAAAAAAAAAAAAATGCCGCAGAGAATGAAGGTGATGGGCAGGAGCAAGTCCTGGAAGAGGCAAGAATCCTTGGGCGATGGTTGTGCTCAGCTCTTGGAGGAAGCTAAGTACTGGCAGAATCGGGCCATAGAGACCGGCCTCCCACGGATAATGTGGAGTGCACAGCGCCAGCTTGTGGTCGGAAGCCATTACTGCAGCAGCAGGCAGGAAACCGAACCACCTAACCGAACCCCAGCTCCTACCTCACACTCCCAGCTACTCAGCCCAGCTGTGGGTCTTAACTGATCAATACCAGAATCCAGATTTTTTTTCTTTTTGAGTCACACCCGGTGATGTTCAGGGGGTTACTCCTGGCTTTGCACTCAGCAGTCACTCCTGGCTGTGCTCAGGGGACCATATGGGATGCTGGGAATCGAACCCAGATCAGCCGTGGGCAGGGCAAACGCCCTATCCACTGTGCTATCGCTCTAGCCCCAGAATTATGTTTTGCAAGACTGGCAGCCAATTAGGTTCATACCTGGAGGTGCTAGGGGCAGCCAATGTGCTGAACTCGGGACCCGGGGCATGGTATCGTGCGTTGGAAATTTTCAGCTACTTCCCTCCCTGCTCCTGAGACCTGATACTAAGCCCCACTCGTGTTGCCAGGTGGAAGGAAGGTCAGAGGAATGGAAACGAGCCTATATTTGGGGTACTGGCATTAGAAAGCACTGTGAGGCTGCTGAGAGCTCAAAAGGCCCGATGCTTAGCAAGCAGGAGTGCAGGCAGTGCCCCCCTGACCCCCCCCCCCAAAAAGAAAGCATTTTAAGAAAGAGCCTCATGATTCTCTGCAACATCCCCTTCACTTCAGAAAGCGGTGGCTGTGATCTAGATGTTTCTCCCTCCTTCCTGCGACGGCTGGCGTTCAGACACCCACTCCACCCCGTCTGCCTCCCCCATGCGCACAGACCATGGAAACAGATGAGGCATTCAGGCCCGCCAGGGAGGCAGCAGATTGGAGACACACTCTGGCAGCGGGGAAGGTCCTTGCTTAAGGGACTGGTTGTGGTGGGGAGCCCTGTGGAAGGGCTTGTCAGTTTGGCCTGCTCTGGCAGGACCTGAGTCTGCCTGAGTGTTTGCATTCTGTGGCCCTGTGTGGGAGGGGCTGCGAGAGGCCAGGTAGCAGTGGGGATGAGACCAGGGCAGGTGCTCAGGAGCCCCATTGGTCTCTCAGGATTGGGTCCAGTGGGAAGTCAGGTCCAGGTGTGCTGCAGCCCATCCACTGCCAAGCAACACACCGAACACTAGTGAACACGGAGTTCACTAGTATTTTTTTTTTTTTTTTGCTTTTTGGGTCACACCCGGCGATGCACAGGGGTTCCTCCTGGCTCTGCACTCAGGAGTTACTCCTGGTGGTGCTCAGGGGACCAGATGGGATGCTAGGAATAGAACCCAGGTCGGCTGCGTGCAAGGCAAACGCCCTACCTGCTGTGCTGTCGCTCCAGCCCACTAGAATTTTTTTCATCTGAAAAGTATTCCCTTGTTTTCCACTGATTTGAGACATACCCTCGCTGGACAAGAACTGGACGCCACTTCCTGATCCATGATGGGGGGAGGGGGAGGCTGTAAGAGTTTGGATCACACCTCGCAGCGTTCGGAGGTTACTCCTGGCAGTGCTCGAGAGACCATCTGTGGTACTGGGGCTCAAACCAGGTCAGCTGAGTGCAAGGCAAGGATTACTCCTGGTGGGGTTTGGAGGACCATATATGGTGCTGGGATTGAAGCCAGGTTGGCTGAGGGCAGAGTGGTCACTCTCCCCAACGTGCTGTCTCTCCAGGCCATATCCTAGAACTTTCTTAACTAAGATTCCAGAGCTCAAAGAGCTTTGAAAATGTGCTAATGGCCTTGAATGAGGCCTTAAGGTAAAGGTAAAGGTAAAGGCCCTCCCGTTGATCGTCGATTTGCTCGAGCGGACCCAGTAACATCTCCATCGGAGACTTTGTTGTTACTGTGTCTGGCATATCGAATACTCTCGGTAGCTTGCCGGGCTCTCCGAGAGGGGCGGAGGAATCGAACTCGGGTCGGCCATGTTGGCCGCTTGTAAGGCGAACGCCCTACCCGCTGTGCTATCGCTCCAGCCTTAAGGGTTCCATTAAATCGAAGTGAGAGCAAAGTCCTACCAGAGATGCCAACCCTAGAGTTACCCAAGGTCAGGGGCCCGTGAGCAGTGAGGGCTGTACAGGGGGAAGAGCCGCCCGCTCTGAGGGCCAGGATGCTCGAGGCAGTGGTCACCCACCTACCAGTTTCCACTTCTGGTCAAGAAGTCATGAGGGGTGGGCGGCGGAGCATTGGGCCAAAGCTGGCTGTGCTCAGGGGTCACTCCTGGTGGTGCTCTGGGGACTGCTGAGGACCAGATGGGAGGCAGCCACATACGTGGCCAAGTGCCTTCCCTACAGGCAGGCAGTTTTTTGAGAAGGCTGCCCAGAGCTGGGGTGGGGTCTCACTCTCTCCTGTCCCTCCCCAGGGAAAAGAAGCGGAGAGGGCTCAGTTTCAAGTTGAAGACACATAGGCCCCTTGTTCCCCAGGAAGCAAAGTCTGGGCGTCAGGGCCGGGAGCCAGGTGGGGGCGGACCCACAGCCCGCTGCCTCTTCCTGCCCAAGGTGTGGGCGCATGGCCAATCCTGCCCAGCTCCTTCCTGGACCCGAGGGCTAAGAACAGCGAAGACACAGGATCGATGGGGTGCCGTCTCCATCCAGAGCCCTGTGGAAGGAGGAACGGAGCAGCCCAAAATGGCTTTGCTTGGTCTGTTAAGAGTCTGGGTGTCCCGGCTCTAGGCCTGTCGCTTCTTGGTCCCCCAGCAGGTGGCACTGCAGCCCCTTGGGGGCCCGGAGGACAACTCCCTTCTCCCCCCTCCGCCCGCCTCGCACCCCCACCCCACACCAACTTGGACCTGGGCCCAGCGCTGGCCCTGGCCCAGCTAGGTCAGGCTCGCCCCTCCTCCCCCTCCCCAGATTAAACTGCCCTTCTGTCATCTCTGTCCTCTCGGGGCTGGAGGACACGGGCAGGCCATGGAGGAAAAAAAAAAAGTTTATTTAATCATCAGAGAGCCTCTGAAGGCACCTGGTTTCTGTCTGGTATAAAAAAAAGGCAGTAAAATAGCAACTGTACAGGGTGCGTGATGGGTAGCCCGGAGGCAGGGGGAGGCAGGGAGGGGCACGGGAAGGGAAGTATCTGACGAGACCTTTAGCACAGTCCTAGCCCTCGGTCAGACGGACATTCGGACACATTCGGCCAGCCTCGCCTGTGCTGCGATGTTCAGCCAGGCCTCAGCAACGGCCTTGCACATGTGGGGGTCCCCCAGACAACGGTTCCTCTTCCGACTTGGACCCTCTGCGTTCCACACACCCCCCCGCCCCCATCCGGTGTCCCTCCTCCTGGGGCCCAGTGCAGGCTGTGAGAAAGCAGAAGTGGTCAGCCGAGAACCGTCCAGGGTGCTCCTGCCCATCCCTGGGAGGAAGGCGAAGCGGGCGGTCCATACAGTCCTCTCGGCCGTCCATCCATGCTCACACGATCGCCCGGAACAGAAAGGAGAAGACGGCCCCCAGCGCCAGGCCCAGGGACAGAAAGAAGGCCATGATGGCTCCTGCTGTCTCTGCCTCGGTCGGCTTCACTTTCCTGCGGAGAGGGGGCAAGGGCGCCTTAGGACCCCCAAACACTGTGGGCCGGCCCAGAGCATCTGGGCCGGGAGCCATCGGGGTAACCCAATTCAGCGCCACCACCCTGCTTCCCACCCGGTCTGCAACTTGTCCACCCCAGGACAGCCCCCCACCCCGGCCACTCTGCACCCCCGACTGCATCAGCTGGGGGGCCCCTTTGGCATCCCCGCCACCCGGGGACCCTGAGCTCCAACATGGGGCTTGAACTGCTGACGCGTCCACTCACTTGGGCCCGAAGCACATGCAAAGGCTGGCGAGGTAGCCGTTGGAGAAGGCAAAGGCGGCCATGAAGAAGATGAACCAGGCGTCGTGCTCGAAGACCACGGGCAGGTAGCGGCGCGGCTGGACGTTACACAGGAGCAGAAGAGGCACGAAAGCCACCCGGGCCAGCACCAGGCCCGGCAGCCACAGGCTGTCCTTCCCGGGCTGCAGGGACAAAGCAGTGCTTCAGCCCGACCCTCACTGGCTCCCCGCGCGCCCATGCATGGGGACCAGTCGAGATCTGAATAGGGACTTTATTTTATTATTTTTTTGCTTTTTGGGTCACACCTGGAGATGCATAGGGGTTACTCCCGGCTCTGCACTCAGAAATTACTCCTGGCGTGCTCAGAGGACCATATGGGATGCTGGGAATTGAACCCGGGTCGGCTGCGTGCAAGACAAACACCCTACCTGCTGTGCTATCGCTCCAGCCCCCTTTATTTTATTTTGTTTTGTTTGTTTTGGCGATGCTCAGGAGTTACTCCTGGCTCTGCACTCAGGAATCACTCCTGGTGGTGCTTGGGAGAACCATATGGGATGGCAGGGATCGAACCTGGGTCAGCCACATGCAAGGAAAACGCCCTCCCTGCTGGACTATCTCTCTTGGCCCTCTGGACAGGATTTTTTTTTCTTTTTTTGCTTTTTGGGTCACACTTGGAGATGCACAGGGGTTCCTCCCGGCTCTGTACCCAGGAGTTACTCCTGGCAGTGCTCAGGGGACCATATGGGATGCTGGGAATCGAACCCGGGTCGGCCGCGTGCAAGGCAAACGCCCTACCCGCTGTGCTATCTCTCCAGCCCCTGAACAGGAATTTTAAAACTGGGCTGGAGAATGATATGCAGGCCTGACTGGGAGATGATGGGACTTTCTTTCTGTACATCTCTTCCCGGGCCCAACTAAGGGCTTTCCCAGGCAATGCTTGGTGGGGTGTGCGCGCGCTGTGAATGTGTGAGTTTTGAGAGGGGAGGGTAATGCTGACAGTTAAATGCTTGGGTGCTTCAGAGGTCCATACGGGGCTGGGGGTCCCACTCAGGCATGTGGTGGTCCTATACTCCTTCCCTTGAGCAATCTCCCCAGCTCACAGATATCTCTTTTTTTTCTTTCTGGGTCACGCCCTGTGATGCACAGGGGTTACTCCTGGCTCTGCACTCAGGAATTACTCCTGGTGGTGCTTGGGGTAACCATCTGGGATGCTGGGAATCGAACCCGGGTCGGCCACGTGCAAGGCAAACGCCCTACCCACTGTGCTATGGCTCCAGCCCCACAGCTATCTTGATATGGATGATGAGTAGACAATATAGACAGCTAAGTCCTCCTTAATGCCAACCAGTGGAAGCTGGGACTGAAGTTAAATTACTCGCAACAAAAGCAGCTCCTCAAACAATGTTGGTGTTCAACACTGACCAGGATTGTTTATTCCTTGTTAAAAAAAAAAATTGTGTTTGGGGGCCCACCCGGTGGTGCTCTGGGCTTCCTCCTGGCTCTGCACCCAGGGGTCACTCCTGGCGGAGTTTGGAAGACCATCTACGATGCTGGGGAGCAAACCTGGGTTGCCCACATGTAAGGGGCAAGGCCCCGAACCCCTGTACGTCCACTCCAGTCCCCACCTTTAGTTTTCCAAAAAAACGAAGGTGACTAGGGACTGGAGTGATGGCGGGAAGGGTGCATGCCTTGTACACGGCCCACTCGGGTTCAATCCCTGACACTCTGTGGTCCCCTGAGTCCACCAGGTGTGATCCCTGACTACAGGGTCAGGAATAAGCACTAAGCACCCCCCCACCCCAAACCCTGATGGTGAACAAAATGGTGTGATTACGGACCCACTGTGCGCTGTGTATACACAGACATATTCCAGTGTGCACCAAGACTTGTACTCTTTATGTATTTATGAAAGAATACGTCTCTGCTTTTTATGTTTGTTTTGTTGCTTTTTGGATCACACCCGGCAATGCACAGGGCTTACTCCTGGTTTTGCACTCAGTTATCACTGCTGGCAGTGCTCAGGGGGCCCTATGGGATGCTGGGAACCAAACCCGGGTCATCTGCGTGCAAGGCAAACGCCCTACCCACTGTGCTTTTGCTCCAGCCCCTAAGTCTCTGTTTTTAAGTTGAACATGTTTCCTCTACTAGGGTACTGCTGAGATTCTTAAAGTCTTTTTGTGTGGGTGAGGAGGAGAGGAGTGGAGGGGGGCGACTCTGGGCTACACCTGGGGGCACCTTACCCCTGCTGAGCTCAGGGATCACTCCTGGCAGTGCTTGGGGGACAGTACGTGATACTGGAGATTGAACTGGGTTGGGCTGCTCGCAAAGCAGATGTCCAGCCCCCCATCTTCCTGGCCCAGGACTTCCCTTTCTCACCTCTCGGGCTGCATACTCTGACCTCTCCTAAGAGCTCAACGCTCCTCCTGCCTCCTTTCCCTTAAAATACTGGACCAGGGTTTGGAGTGATAGTACGGCGAGGAGGGTGTTTGCCTTGCAAGCAGCCAACCCGGGTTTGATTCCCAGCATCCCATATGGTCCCCCGAGCACCGCCAGGAGTGATTCCTGAGTGCAGAGCCAGGAGTAACCCCTGAGCACAACCAGGTGTGGCATTTAAAAAGAAAAAAAGAGGGGCTGGAGAGATAGCACAGCGGGTAGGGCGTTTGCCTTGCACGCGGTCAACCCGGGTTCGATTCCCAGCATCCCATAGGGTCCCCCAAGCACCACCAGGAGTGATTCCTGAGTGCAGAGCCAGGAGTAACCTCTGTATATCACTGGGTGTGACCCAATAAGTCAAAAAAATAAATAAAACACTGGACCAGGGCTTACGCCTGGCTCTGTTCTCAGGGATTACCCCTGGAGGATCTTAGGGGACCACGCAGGGTGCTGGGGACTGAGGCCAAGTCATCTACATGCAAGGCCACCACCCTCCCTGGCCCCTCGGTGCCCCTCTTTCACTTACCCACATGCATACAGCTGTGAGGCTCCGGCCCAGCCAGTCAAAGACATTGAAAATCAAGAAACAGGACACAGGGATGAAGTAATTTTCTAGAAAAGAAGAGATCAGGGGACCATTACCAGACACAGACAGGCAGATCTGGCAAGTCGGACCCTCACCGGAAACACTGCGATCAGCAGAAGCTGCTTCCAAAGCCAGGAAGGGCACATGGATCAGGAAAGCCGTGCCGAGAAGCAGCGGCCCAGGCTCTGCCTCTCTCAGGCCTGCACCAGCCCGTCTAGCACAACCCCCCCACCCACCCAACCCCGAACCCTGGGGGTCCTCACTCCAGGTGTGGCTGTCCGTAAGGCTGGAGCGGACCTCGGCAGCCACGGCGGGAAACATCCCAATGGTGATAGTGAAGATGAAACAGACGGAGAAAGCCAGGACTGAGATCTGCAAGAAAGAAAGGAAGGGGCTGGAGCGATAGCACAGCGGGGAGGGCGTTTGCCTTGTACACACGGCCGACCCGGGTTCGATTCCCAGCATCCTATATGGTCCCCTGAGCACCGCCAGGGGTAACTCCTGCGCCAGCGTGACCCAAAAAGCGAAGAAAGAAATAAAAATAAAAAATAAATTGTAGCACTGTAGCACTGTCCTCCCATTGTTCACTGATTTGCTCGAGCGGGCCCAGTAACATTGTGAGACTTGTTACGGTGTTTGGCATATCGTGTGTTTGGCATATCGAATACGTCACGGGGAGCTTGCCAGGCTTTGCCGTGCGGGCGAGATACTCTCGGTAGCTTGCCGGGCTCTTCGAGAGGGGTGGAGGAATTGAACCCGGCTCGGCCGGGCTGGCTGCACGCAAGGCAAACGCCCTACCGCTGCGCTATCGCTCTAAATAAAAAAAAAAAAAAAGGAAAAGGAACAGGCTGTGTCTTCAAGACAACCACCTGGCGAGGAAGAACCCCGAAGCGAGAAGCCCCGTTCCCCCCAAGGTGCGTGTACCCAAGGGACAGAGGGAGAGAGACAGACACACAGCCAGGGAGGGGAAAGGAAGGAGCGCCGAGGACCGGCGCCCTGTTCCACATACCTGTCTGAGAATGGCCAGGACGGAGTGACTCTTGGTGACGGGGTGCGAGTTGGGGGCCGAGACTCTGGCCTCTTTGCCTGGACCTGGTTGTTCTCCTGCGGGGTGACATGGTGGGAAGCGCAGAGCAACACATGACACCGAGCTGGGGGTGGACACTAACCCCATCACCCTCTCCTCCCCAGCGCCAGGACACAGGCTGCCAGGGTGCTGCTGGCCCTGACAGGGTCCCCCCCCAGATCCTGCCCCCGTCCCCGGCCCTTTAGGCTCTCAGACCTTTACTGATGAGATCCAACTTGGTCTCCTGCTCCCCAGGACCCTCGAGCTGCAGCTGCTGGTAGTACCTGTAGAATTCCTATCCAGGCGGGCGGGGCAACGGGGAAGCGGGATTATCAGGTGGATCTCCAGAACACTAGAGCATCAGAGCACTGGAGCCCCCACCCCCACCCCCCAGGCTTTGTCCTGGTGCTCACCAGCCGCGGCAGAGCCAGATAGCAGATTATGGTCAGGACGATGACCACACAGGCGGTGATGAAATAGCCGAAGGCACTCTCGGCCAGCTCCGAACCAGCTGGGGTGGGCAGGAGGGTCTGTGAGGAGACGGCCACACCCCACTCCTCCCCTCACGCTTCCCACTGGCATCCGGCTCCCACGGTAACGGGGACAGACATGCGGCACTTACTGGCAATGGCGCAGATCATGGCCACTGATGCAAAGAGCCCAGCCAGGCCCTGGCCACTCATGATGGGGGCTGTGTAGCTGGCGGGGAGGAGGCCGGCCAGGCCGAAGAGGCTGCCTTGCAGGATGGCGCCAAACGCTGGGGGGGCAGACAGGGCTGTTGTCAGCAGAGGGGGGGACCGGGGGTCTCACTTCCACGGAGGAGGGGCTGGGAGGTGCTGAGGTCTGGGGCAAACAGGTCTCTAATTCTGCTTTTTTATTTAATTTGTTTAGCTTTCTGGGTCACACCTCAGGGGTTACTCCTGGATCTGCACTCAGGAATTACTCCTGGCGGTGCTCGGGGGATGCTATGTGATGCTGGGAATCGAACCGGGGTTGGCCACGTGCAAGGCAAATGCCCTACCCGCTGTGCTATTGCTTCTTTGTGTGTGTGTGTGTGTGTGTATGCGTGTGTGTGCGCGTGCTACTGCTTCAGCCCCTTTATTTTTGTTTTGTGGGCCCCACCCAGCAATGCTCAGGGCTTACTCTTGGCCCTGTGCTCAGGGGTCTCTCCTGGCAAGCTGTTGGGGATCTTACTGAGTGCTGGGGATCGAAGCTAGGTCGGTGGTTGCAAACACCCTACCCGCTGTCCCGTTGCTCCGGCCCCTCTAGTTCTGTTTTCATGCCCACACACATTCCAGGCACTGCTCCTGGCCATGCTCCTTGGCCCAGCGGTGTGGGCCTGAGGCGGCTACACTTCAAGGTGCTCACGGACCCGGTGGTGCCGTGCCGGGGCCTCACCTGGGCTGGGCCCGTGGCACGAGCCCTGAGCCACATCCCCAGCCTTGCTCAGGGCTTACTCCTGGCTCAGGCAGGCGTGGGGGACCCTAGGGGAGGCCAGGGATCGACGTGCAAGGCAAGTGCCCCATCCTCTATCCGATAGCGCTGGTGCTGCTGCTGTGCTTTGATGCTGAGAAGTTTTTGTTGTTTGCTTTTCTGGGTCACACCCAGCAGTGCACAGGGGTTACTCCTGGCTCATGCACACAGAGGAATTACCTGTGGCGGTGCCCGGGGAACCATATGGGATGCTGGGAATAGAACCCGGGACCCGGGTCGGCCGCGTGCAAGGCAAAAGCCCTACCCGCTGTGCTATCACTCCAGCCCCCGATGCTGAGAAGTTTTCCCCTCTGCCTCAGCCCTGTGCCAGCTCAGCTCTCTGGCTCCGCAGGTCCCTGACTGCCCAAGAGAATCCCTGTGGCCTACAGGGCAGAGGGGGGACTGTGACGGGCGCCCCCGTGGACTGCCTGTGGGTCTGAAAGGCCGGAGACATCCAACAGGCTTCTGCACATACTTGTCCCGCAGGAAGCCTGGATTGGACCCCCAGCACTGCACGGTGCACCCCTGAGCACTGCCAGGAGAGAGTCCCCTGAGCACTGCCGGGAGTGATGGGGATAAAAAACAAAACAAAACAAAACAAAAAAAACGACAATGAGGGTGGGAGGATTTCTTACAGTTAATGAGCATGATCTTGACCATGGTGATGACGAAGAAGGGCAGCGCGTCCATGGGGACTTTCACCAGCACCGCGGTGACAAGGAACACCAGCAGGATGGCGAAGAGACTGCTGAGGATCCGGACAGACTGGGAGACCCTGCCGTGGAGCGGGGGGACTCAGCCACGGGTCCCCCGCAACCGGCAGGCACGGGGGCCGGGCAGGGGCTCACCTCTGGTGCAGGAAGGAGTTCAGGCAGGTGAAGAGCAGCAGAGGCAGCATGGCACACAAGGTCATGACGTTGTTGAAGATGCCACTGAGGGCGTTCCGGCCTGGAGGGGGCGTGGTGCCGCTGACATTCCCGATCGGGTTATCGGTGGCGGCAGCGGTGGTGGTGGTGGTAGTGGTGGTGGCGGCCAAGGTCATGTTCTGGGACTTGTCCAGGCGGTTTGTGAAATACTTCAGGGTGGCAGAGACAAGGGTTGGGACGTCTCTCCTGGGTCCACAGGGGCAGGTCGAGGCCCCGCAAGCCCAGCCCTCCGGCTCCCCGCCCATCTCACCAGAGTGGCGGTCATGAAGAAATTCCAGGGGAGCAAGGTCCCCAGCCCCAACATGAAGAAGATGAGCCACACGGCTCGGTACCTGGAGGTGGGAGAGACAGGGCCGTGACCCACCGCCACCACCCTCGTTCCTGGCTGACGCGAGCCGGGAAACGCCCTCCCCGCCCTCCACCCACTCCCTGGGCCTGCAGAGGGCCCAGGGCACAGAGCATCCCTGGGCGTGTTTGCGTCCCTGGGCGTTTGGCCTACGGGTGGAAGTGGGGGGCGGGGGAGGTGTCCCGGGTAGGGAAAAGGGCACAGCAGCGTGTCGCGGGGGAAGGGACCGGGAACACAGGCCCGACAGAAGTCGGTGCTCAGCAACCAAGGCTCGGGGGACCCAGCAGGCGTGTGACCCACACATCCGGAGGTGGTTTTGGAAATCCTACTCAGGGCTCAGGGTGGGCGGGTCAGCGAGACAGCAAACAGCAAGGATCTTCTGTACCCCACGGCCCTCTCCCCTGGGCTGGCTGGAAGTGATTATGTCTGGGCAGGAACTCTGTGGCTCCCCAAAGAGGATTCTGAGGTCAAACTCCCAGACCGTCAGTGTTCGTCTGGGACCCGCTGGGCCCGGGGGCGGAGTGCCTGAGGGCAGCTGGGAGGTAAGGGAGCCGTTTCCCTCCGGCCCAGACAGAACGGGCTTTGTAGATGCCACCAGCGAGGTGAGGCCAGGAGGCCTGGGATTAGGGGAGTCATCAGGGGCCCCAGACGGTCAACAAGCATTGCTGGCTTTGGCTTGGACGCCGCCCGCCTGAGTCCTCCACGCAGGGTCTGTGTGGGACGGGCCAGCTCCCGCCACCTCCCAGCCCAGGCTGTGGTCTACCAGCCTCTCTCCCACGCACCCCTGCTTTCTTCAGAACTGGCAGAGATGAAGTCCAGGGCCACAAAGAGACAGGACAGGGCGGAGCTTGGGTGAGCACCCCCAGGGGGCAAGTCTGAGCAACCTAACTTTCTCCTATATGTCCCCACCGTGAAGGCCGAGCTAAGGGCTGGACGCAGAGGCCCAGAATGAATGGAAAGTGTCAGCCAAGGACGCAAAAGTGGAGGGCTGACCAGCAAAGAGGGGGCAGGCGGAAGTGGCTAGGCCGAGCCAGGGGGTTTGAGGGGGACCAGCAGGAGCCAACGGGGGCCTGCCTTAGGTCTCCTTAACCTGTGTGAAGACCCTCAGCTCTTGGTTTACAGGAAGGAAATGGTCTCCGACATCAAGCTACAGGGGTCTGGAGGCCGGGGGTGGAGGGGGTGGGGCCAGCGGAACAGAGATGAAGTGGGCGGGGGGGGGGGGGGGGGGGGCGGGCAGCAGGAGGAGCCTGGGGTTGCCGCCAGGCCTTCCCAGTTTCCCGGGGCACTGGACTCCCTGGATGAAACAGTGGCGCCTCCCTCCACATGTGTGTGACCCCAGCTGCCGGCTGGGCTCTAGGGGGTGGGGGCACACCCCTCCCCCCAGAGATGGGGCCGGTTAGCTCAAGGCCCAGCATAGATGGGGTCATCGCGGGCAGAGGCCCTGTGCTGGCCCCCAGAAGGAGCGGCGGCAGCTCTGCCAGATGTGCTCTGGGGTGTCAAGGGCTGCCAAACCTCTCCCCACAGCCCTGGCGGGAGGAGTCGGAAGCGGCTCTGGGCCTGGAGAACAATAGTGGAAACACTGACGGGCCAGGGAGGGGCGGCCCAGCGGCCAGCCAGCGCCCAGCCAGTGCCCGCCCGAGGCTGGACCGGACTCACAGCTACCTGCTGCTGCTAGGCCCACCGCCTGCTCCCTGGAGTAGCACCCCCCGCCCCGGCCCCACTGCCCCCTGGATCCTCAGCCTGGGTCCCCCAGTACCTGTCCTGCGGCTGATGGCTGGTTGTCATGGTGACAGCAGTCTGGGTCTCGCCTGGCTAGCAGTTTGCTCCCTCCAAGGCCTGCTGAGGACAGAGCAGTATGAGGCCACGTGTTGGCTCGGCCGCCCCGCAGACTCGCAAGGAGAGGAGGAGAGGAGGAGAGGAGGAGGAGGAGGAGGAGGAGGAGGCAGGGCAGACAGCAAGCCCAGGGAAGCTGGCTGGAAGTCCCCCGGCTCTTCCCCCCCCCGCCCCTCACCCCGTGGCCCTGCCTCTCAGGGTCGCTTGGCAGCCCCGCGCACCCCCTCGCTGGAGAGGCTCTACCTGGCTCCGGCCTGGCCAGCAGCTGCCCCCCTGCTATTTTTATCCTGCGGCGAAGCCAGCAGTGAGCAGAGCCAACAGTGCAAGCGTGGAGCGGGGAGGGAGGGCCAGGAGGGTGCCAGGCAGGCAGCGACGGCGAGAGAGGGGGGTCAGGGACGGGTGGCGGCGGAGGGGGGGGGCAGGAGGGCCAGGAGGAGGGAGACAGAAGAAGAGGGGCCGGGAGGCGTCAGAACACTCCGATCTGTGGCCCTGGCCTCGCCCCCAGTGGCCTCTCTGCAGGCCTGACCCCGTCGCCCGCCCCAGCCCCAGCCCCTGGGCGGCCACCTCGGCCACTTCGCCCTTCCTTGCCAGCTGCTGCCCGGGGGCTTCCGAGTTCAGGCCAGTTTTCTAGGAAAGCCGCCCTCCCCCGCCCCCACTGAGGTGCGGGGACACAGGCCGTCCCCTGACCCCAGCCCACAGTCACCCCTCTCTCTTGCTTCCTCCTTGAGTCACTCCTCTGCGCGCCACTTCCCTGTTCTGAGGGCAAACGAGAGGGAGAGCTTGGGGGGCCCAGGGCATTGACCCCCTCCTGTTCACTCTGGCTCATGCAGCGGAAACACCTGGTCCCACCACAGCACCTGCCCCTCCCCGGCCCGTGCTGGCAGGGCTGCTCTGGGCCCCGGGGCACCCACGGGGGTCTCCCATTGGCCAGGGGGAGGAATGGGGGGAGGCCGGGGTAGCCGTGGTGCGGGGCCTCACCCAGGCTCAGTCATGGCACAGGGCGTATCAAAGAACCCCAGCCACCTGCCTTGCTGAGGGGCTGCCTCATTCTGAGAAGCCTGGCAGGCGCGCGCGCACACACACACACACACACACACACACACACACACACACACGAGGGGAGCTGCCCCGTTTTGAGAACCTGGTAGAGCCCCCAAGAGTGCATGCCCGCGTGTGTGCGCGCACACATACACACACGCACACATGCTGAGGGCAGTGGCCCCATTCTGAGAACCTGGTACCGCCACACACACACACACACACACACACACACACACGAGGGGAGCTGCCCCGTTCTGAGAACCTAGTAACGCCCCCCCACCAAACGAGCGCACGCAAACACACACACACACACACACACACACACACACACGAGGGGAGCCATCCCGTTCTGAGAACCTGGTAGCGCCCCCAAGAGTGCAAGTTCGCGTGTGTGTGCACACGCATAGACACACGCACACATGCTGAGGGCAGTGGCCCCATTCTGAGAACCTGGTACCACCACAAACACACACACACATCACAGGGAGATAAGACCACTCCTGTAGCTTGAAAGATTACAGAGTCTCCTCTGCGGGGGGGGGGGGGGGGGGGGGGGTAAAGGTGTGGCCAGGGCTGAGACAGACTGTCCAGGCCTTCCTCGGTCTCCCAGAGAGAATCAGAAGACTCCTCTGATCCTTCTACCAGTTGTTCGCTGGCCAGGCATGGCTCTGGCTCCAGCACTGTGTTCTTCAGGGGTGCAGGGGATGGAACCCACCGCTTCATCCACAGCCGGCCGGGCTCTACTGTCGAGCCACCTCCCTGGCCCTGGACAGGTGTCCTTCCCATTTTTCTGGGAAATGGGGGCAAGGGTGCAAAGGCCTGGGAGCGGGCAGGAAAGGCTGGGCTCAGGGGTGGCTCCTGGTGATGCTCGGGGGACCATGTGAGATGCGGTGTGCGTGGGGGGTGGGGGAGGGGGACCGACCCTGGCTGGCCATGTGCAAGGCCAGCGTTATTATCTCTCTGGCCCTGAGACCCAGCTTTTCTCCCGGGCAGAGAGAGAGAGAGAGAGAGTGTGTGTGTGTGTGTGTGTGTGTGTGTGTACACGCGCAGTGGGCAGGGTACAGAGATCCCCCAGCTTCTCACCACCAAGCACCCTCCGGCCCCCGCAGGCAAGATTCCTGGCTATTAAGAGCAAGTGCGGTTCAACCCAGATCAACCCAGACTAGACCGGGGTGGAGAGAACTGAGCCCACAGTGGCACAGCTTCCTGGCCTCCCCCCCCCCCCCCGCCGGGTTCTGTACCCCGGCTCTCAACAGCCCCCACTTACCTCTAGGGGCAGCCCCACTCCCTCCCTGCCCACATCCGGACACTGAGCTGCCAGCCCAGGTGTCCCGTTCTTGCCCTCCTTTGCCCAGCAGCAACCAGGGATTTGATCCCAGCTCAGAGCACTTGGCATCCCTCTAAGCCAGGCCGTGGCCTGCCGAGATGGGGCCCTTGCACGCAGCCAAACGCCCGTGCCCCTCCTCAAGCCCCAGCTCCCGAGACCTAATGCTTAAGAGCCTCCCCTGGGAGACAAACCCTCCCGATTCCGTGGAATTCTCCGCACCCAGGAGCTCAGATGGGGCCAGCCAGCACCTGCAGACACCCAACACCCCCCCCCCCCCTTCACAACCACCTGGAAGCCAGTACACAAAGAGATGGGGGCAGCTGGGCTTGGGGGCGGGGGTTACCCGCCTGAGGTCACAGAGCTAGTGAACGGGGCTCAAATTCAAGAGATGCTGAGGGGCTGGAGCAATAGCACAGCGGGTAGGGTGTTTGCCTTGCATGCGGGCGACCCGGGTTCGATTCCCAGCATTCCATATGGTCCTCTGAGCACGCCAGGGGTGATTCCTGAGTGCAGAACCAGGAGTAACCCCTGTGCATCGCCAGGTGTGACCCAAAAAGAAAAAAAAAGAGAGAGATGCTGAGGGCAGGGTAGGTGATGTTCTTGCCTGCCGGCAGCCAACCTACTTTGATGCCTACAGTGACATCCCTCCCTCACCACTGCATGGGGGGGCATCACTCCTAAGCGCAGACAAGGATGTGGCCCTGAGCACTCCGGATGCGGCCTAATACCTGTCCTCGTAAAAAAAAAAAAAAAAAAAAAAAAAAAAAAACCCTGATGCTTAGGCATGGGAGTGAGTACAGCCAGGAAGGCACTTGTGCGTGGCTGACCCGGGTTCGATCCCCAACATTCCATAGGGTCCCCCAAGCACCAGCAGTAATAATTCCTGAATGCAGAGCCAGGAGTGACCCCCTGAACATTGCCGGGTGTGACCCCAAAACAAAATACAAACAAACACAAACAAAAAGTGTGATACTTAGTCTAAGCTCCCGGGGTTGAGAGGAAGGTCTAGAGGCTGATTTCCCTTAACGTTATTAGACCAAAAAAAAAAAAAAAAACAGAGTTCGGCCAAGAGAAAGTACAGCAGGTAAGGCACTCAGCCTACCCCTAGGGTTCCATCCCCAGCATCCCCAAATGGACCCAGGGTACACCAGGAATGACCCCTGAGGACAGAGCCAGCCCCGAGCACTGCCGGACGGAGTCCGAAAGCAAAAATAAAATTTTTAAAAGGGGGTGTGCTCTACTCTAACTAAAGGGATAGGTATGGGGGGGTTGAGGTCACCCCTGGATGGCACCCCCCGCCCATAACAGGCATCCTGGCTCAGGGCGGGGGTGGGGAGGGGGCTCAGGAAGGCGGGACAATGGGAGGTCTGGAGGTCACCTAGAGGAGTGGGTGCCGGACGGGGCCGCGGGGTGGGACCTGCCCTACTCCCTGGGGGAAATCGAGCGTTCTGATCCTTCCACTGGGGGGACGGAGGGGTCCCCTCGGGCGGAAAACGGGGCCGAGCGGGGTCCAGAAAAGTCGCGAGGGGGCCGGTCGCCCCTCGCGCCCTCCGCGCCCGCGTGTCCCCATCCCCGCTCGCCCCCGCGCGGCGCGGCCCCTTCCCGGGCGATCGATCGAGATCGACCGTCTCGTCTGCGGCCCCAGCAGCGGGTCAGCTCGGCCACCGCGGGCTCCGGGTCCCCCCGACCCGCGCCCCCAAGGGGCTCCCCCGCGCCCCGGCGCGCGGGCGCCACGTGCTGCGCCGCTAGCTGCCCCCGCGCCCCGCGCCCCCCGGCCGGCCGCGCAGGGTCCGGCCCGGGCCCGGCCCGCCGGCCTCGCGGGCAGCGGCGCCCTCCGCCCGGGCGCGCCCGTCCCCCCGGGGCCCCGGCAGCACCTGCAGGGTAGCCGCGTCCGCCGCCCGCTCCGCACTCCGTAGCAGCTTCCCGCGCCCGCTCGCCCGCCCGCCCGCCAGCCCCAGCACTTTCAAACCCGCCCCCCAGCCGGGCCCGCCCCCGGCGCGCCCCCGCCCCCGCCGGGCGCCGCCCGCCCGCCCGCCCGCGCGCCCGCGCCCGGCCCGCCCCTCCCGGCCCAGCCCCGCGAGGGCCACGTGGCTCCGGCGGCGCTCCGGGCCCGCCTGGGTGCTCCCACGCTCCAGACACTGGGTGCCCCCACCCTCCAGGCACAGGGTGGCCCCACCCTCCAGGCACGGGGTGGCCCCACGCCCCAGGCGCTGGGTGCCCCCACCCTCCAAACTCTGGGTGCCCCCCACTCTCCAGGCACTGGGTGCCCCCCACCCTCCAGGCACTGGGCGGCCCCACGCCCCAGACACAGGGTGCCCCCACCCTCCAGGCACTGGGTGCCCCCACCCTCCAGGCACTGGATGGCCCCACCCTCCAGGCACTGGGTGGCCCCATGCCCCAGACACTGGGTGCCCCCACCCTCCAGGCACTGGGTGGCCCCATGCCCCAGACACTGGGTGCCCCCACCCTCCAGACTCTAGGTGCCCCCACCCTCCAGGCACTGGTGCCCCCACCCTCCAGGCACTGGGTGCCCCTACCCTCCAGACTCAGGGTGACCCCCACCCTCCAGGCACTGGGTGGCCCCACCCTCCAGGCACTGGGTGGCCCCATGCCCCAGACACTGGGTGCCCCCACCCTCCAGGCACTGGTGTCCCCACCCTCCAGGCACTGGGTGCCCCTACCCTCCAGACTCTGGGTGACCCCCACCCTCCAGGCACTGGGTGCCCCCACCCTCCAGACTCTGAGTGTCCCCCCACCCTCCAGGCAGTGGGTGCCCCAATGCCCCAGACACTGGGTGCTAACGCTCTCCAGACACTAGGTGCTAACACTCTCTTGTGCAAGATGTTTTTCTTTTTCTGGGGTACACCCTCCCTTTTCAGAATCACTTTTTTTTTTTTTTGACAGCGTGCTCAGGTGGTGTCCAGGAGTTACTCCTGGCTCTGCACTCAGAAATTATTCCTGGCCCTGCTCAGGGGACCATATGGGATGCTGGGGATTGAACCCCATAGTGCTATAGCTTGTACAGTACTTCCTTTCTCCAGAAACATGGCTCTCCCCGGGTGGGGACTGCCCCACACCCCCAGAGTGTAGGGGTGTGGGGAAGTCCCCTCTGACCTACATGATTCCTGTTCCTGGCTCTGATATACAACCCATCTCACTTGGAGGGGGATGGGAGGGCAGGTTGTAGCTACCTTATGATGCACTCTTTTTTCCCCGGGTGATCCGGATGAATGGAGACGTTACTGGCACCCGCTCGAATAAATCGATGAATAACGGGGATTAAGTGATTAAGTGAAGTGATCCGGAGGGGATGTTTGGGTCAAACCCGGTGATGCTCAGAGGGCTTTCTTGGCTCTCCTCACAGGGATCACTCCTGGCAGGCTGGAAGGGAGCCAGATGGGGTACCAGGACCCAACCCTCGTCACTGGAGTGCACTGCACCGCACTGCCCACTGTGTGCGTTACTCGACTCATGACTGTCTCGCCTTCCTTCCATCCTTGCCTTTCCTCCTGGCTCTGTGCTCCAGGATCTGGCAGGGTCTGGGGATGCTGGGGATAGAACCCAGGTTGGCCATGTGCAATGCAAATTGCCGTACCCGCTGTACTATCCCTCAGGCCTGGTGATTCACTCTCTCTAAACCCAGCATTTTGGAAAAACAGAGACACAATTGGAATGGCAAGAGATTGGAATGGCTCCTGTAGGAACACCAGGTCCTGTGCAAATCCTAGTCTCAGATGTTCGGAGAGCTCCCACTCCCCCCATTGTCTGGGGAGGTGCGTATGCCCCAGAGAGGCTCAGTCCTCTAAATTTCCAAGACGGTGTTCAAAGACTCTCTCTTTTGGCAGGTGGAGGGCGTTTGGTCACATCCCATGGTACTGGGGATCAAACCTGTGTTGGTTGCAGGCAAGGCAAGCCTTTAACTCCTGTACCATCTCTACAGGCTGGAGTGATAGCACAGCGGGTAGGGCATTTGCCCTGCATGCAGCCGACCTGGGATCGACTCCTCCATCCCTCTCGGAGAGCCTGGCAAGCTACCGAGAGAGTCTCCTGCCCGCACGGCAGAACCTGGCAAGCTCCCTGTGGCGTATTCCATATGCCAAAAACAGTTAAGTCTCACAATGGAGATGTTACTGGTGCCCGCTCGAGTAAATCCATGAAAAACGGGAGGACAGTGCTACAGTGCTAGTCTCTACAGCCCCAGAATTCCCTTCCTTCTAGTTAGACAATAAATTGGGGTGGGGGCACGCGTTACTGCCCCTCTAGCAGTTGTAGGTGCCAGAGGAAAATCCAATGGCTGGAAAGATGCTGAGTAAAAAGTCAAGATCTCTTCTCCACCCTGCGACTACCCCGGAGTGCTGTCCCGGGAGAAGCCACAGACACTAATTAACAATTAGCGGTACTAACATCCTCAGGAGTCACACCCTTTCCCCAGAGAACAGGGCCCTGAGGGGGAAGCAACAGCTTTTATACTTAGGGTCAAGCAGACGCAGGGCTGTTCCAGAAGGCCTGTTTTCAAGCCGGCCGGCACAGGGCCCCACCGATCATGACACACGGTCCACTCAGCCTTGTCCAAACTGAGGGCAGGAAGATGGGTCTGGTGGTGTTTTCCTAGGCGCTGCTTCGCGTCTGGACCTCCGACCCACTCCCTTCCTATCCTGTGTTTGTCCAGACTCTCTCTCTTCCTCTCCCCTCTTCCTTGGCCTCAGTCTCTCTTCCCACTTCATTTCCTGTCTCCGGGCCTTGGGGGCGGCAGGTCTGAGTGGTCAGAGGCCACAGCTGTGTGCAAAGAAACTGGACGGAAGTGGTGAGGGTCCTGGCGGGACCGGGCAAGGCAGTTCTCCTCCCCACCCCCTCGGCGGCCTGATGGTTCAATATTGGCATGGCCGTGCCGGGGCTGTTATTGCTGGAGGGGAGCCCATCTGGCAGTCAGTCACCCTGCCTGGGCCCCCAGCCAGCACCCACACTCCTCCCGAGCTGCCTCCCTGGACCTGGTTGTTGTGGGTGCCCGGGGCCCCCTGGTGGACAGCTCAGGGCCCCCAACTCACACATTTCCTGTGTGGGGAGTTTTCCTAGACAAGCCCCACACGCCTGTTGATCGCTGCCTGCCAGGTGCCCCCGGCTTCCTTCACCTGGAGGACGATGAACAGGTTCACCAGCTCCCTCAAGTTTCTCCTCCTCCCTTGGGAGCTGTTGCAATGATCCAGGTCACACACACACACACACACACACACACACACACACACACACACACACACTTGGTTGTTGTATGTCTGAGGTCACTTTGTTGTGCCACTGGGATTGCACAGTCATGTGGGGTGATGCCAGGGATCTAACTCGTGGCCTCATGCTCGACCACTCTGCCATCCTCCAGCCCCCAATTTTAAGACTGTGGTTTCCCCCAATTTCCCTGCTCCTGTCTCTCCCCCTCCCCCCATTCTTTCCCCCTCTCCAGGTGTCTCAGGTGTTTGTAGCTTCCCAGCTGTGTTGAGACTTTATTTCCAGGGCTTGTGGGTGTGGGAGGGCTGGGACTAGGGAGGGACCCCTGAGACATTTGCCTGAGGGGAGTGTTAAAAATAAAACTCAGAAACTGGGGCTGGAGAGATGGAAGCTCAGTGGTTAGGGCACTTGCCTTGTACTCACCGAGGTGGTTTGATTCCCAGAACCTCATATAGGGTGTGATCCCTGAGTACCACTGGGTGTGGCCCCCAAACCCAAACCTCCTCAGTAATATTTTGGGAGGCTGCACTAGGCAGTGGTCAGGGTTCACTCGGGGCTCTGTGCTCAGAGAGCCCTCCTGGGGGGAGTCCAGGGTCCATATGGAGAGTGAGGGATTGAACCTGGGTTAGCCATGCACAAGGCAAGCACCCGCTGTACGATCTTTGACCCCAGGCCTCAATAATTAAGATAAATAGTATCTCAAAGCTCTATTTAACAATACTAAAGTTAATGCAAAAAATAAAAAATCTTGATAAACAAGACATGACTGGGGCTGGAGTGATAGCACAGCGGGTAGGGTGTTTGTGTTGCACGTGGCCGACCGGGGTTCAATTCCCAGCATCCCATAGGGTCCCCAGAGTACCACCAGGAGTGATTCCTGAGTGCAGAGCCAGGAGGAACCCCTGAGCAAGACCAGGTGTGGCATTTAAAAAAAAAAAAGAGGGGCTGGAAAGATAGCACAGCGGGTAGGGTGTTTGCCTTGCACGCGGCCGACCCGGGTTCGATTCCCAGCATCCCATAGGGTCCCCTGAGCACCGCCAGGAGTGATTCCTGAGTGCAGAGCCAGGAGTAACCCCTGAGCATCGCCGGGTGTGACCCCAAAAAATAAAACAAAACAAAACAAACCAAGACATGACTTCAAACTGAGTGGAGACAGGGGGGCTCCCGTGGGCCACCTTCCTTGTGGGTGTGGGTATGGGGGGCCGGACTCGGGGTGACCTTGGTCTGCCGGGCTACTTTCTCAGACCTCGGCCCTTGGCCAGGTCACTGACCTTGAGGACATCCTTAGTCGGGAGGGGGAGGAGGAGGGTCGCCCTCTAACCGTGGCCTTCTACGTCCCAGAAATGCGTCCCTCTCCTCCCTCGGGTGCCAGAAACTTCCGAGTCCATGGGGAGCGCACCCCTCCGTGAGAACGTTGCAGACCCCGCACCCCCGCACCCCCTCCGCACGACGCCCCGCCTCGCGCCCCCGCGCACCTGCGACACTTCCGAGGGGGGCACCCCCGAGCAGGTGGGGGACGGGAAATTCCGGCCCCGCGGGGCCCCTGCCCGCCTTCCTGGCCTTGTCACCTCCGGGCGGGCCGGGGCCAGCGCCCAGGCCGGAAACCGCCGCCTGCCCGCGCCCGCCGGCCCCGGCCCCGGCCCCGCTGCCCGCCCCGGAGCGCGGCTGCAACGGACGCGGCGCGCCGGCCGGGCCCGCAGGGATGCGCGCAGCAGGGGACGCGGGAGCGGGCGGGGGTCCGAGCAGCCCCCCCGCCCCAAGAGGCGCCGTCCCCCGCGAGCACCCCCCCAGGCCGCCTTCCGGAGAGCCGCGGCGAGCACAGGCGCCTTGGAGGGTGGCGCTGAGCGGCGGGGCTGGGGCTGGGGGCTCACGGCCCTGGCCTCGATCCTCCCCACCAGGGCAGCTGGTGTGGGGTCCAAAGGGGGCTCCCGAAAGGCTTTTATGTTCCCCATAAAGCCACCCCCACCCCTCGCCCTACACCCGGAGCCTCCTGCCGGCCGTGAAGGGCGCAGGGCCGTTGCACAGGAAGAGAAAGCAAATGATCCCCAGGCTAAGCAAACAGACAGCTGGTGTTTGCATGCGTGTGCGTGCAAGCGTGTGTGTGTGTGTGTGTGTGTGTGTGTGTGTGTGTGTGTGTTCGTGCGTGTGTTGGGGGCCATATTCTGGGGTTCTCACGAGCTACTCCCAGACCCCCACCCTGCTTGCACGTGTGTGCGTGCATGCGCGTGTGTGTGTGTGTGTTGGGGACCATATTCGGGGGTTCTCACGAGCTACTTTCAGCCTCTCCCAGCTCTGCCGGCTCTGGCTCGCCTGGGGGCGGGGATACCCCGGGGAGCTCTCTCCAGGAATCAGCGCAGGGCCCCTGCATGCAAAGCTTGTTTGTGCTCAGCGCACAGAGCTCTCTCTCCTGACCCAAACTGACACCTCTTAGCAGACTCTGCAGGCGCTGGCTGCCAGCTGGAAGAGGGTGTCACCACCCACTCCCCTCATCCAGGTCTCTTCTTCGCTTCCCTGGGGTTCTCCACACAGGGCTCCTCCTACCCCAGCGCCCGCTGAGTCTCCCCCCTGGCGGCAGGACCAGTGCCTGTTTTTTTTTCCTTTTTGGGTAACACCCGGAGATGCACAGGGTTTCCTCCTGGCTCTGCAGCCAGGAATCATCCCTGGCGGTGCTCAGGGGACCCTATGGGATGCTGGGAATCGAACCTGGGTTGGCCACGTGCAAGGCAAATGCATTACCCGCTGTGCTATCGCTCCAGCCCCAGGACCAGAGCCTGTTTGCTTCTTGAGTTTGTTCAGATCTGTGACTTAGGGATCACAGAGTGACATTCTCACTGAGGTTGAACCAGAGAAAGTACCAGGAGTGACATTAAGCATCAACAGGGAGCAAAAGGAAGCCTAGAGCTCCTGATTCTCCCCGCCCCCCCATCACACAGAATTTCTTCCTTCCTATCTTTTCCTTCTGGGGTGGAGGGCTGGCATTTGGGCCACACCCTGTGATATTCAGGGGTTACTCCTGGCTCTGTGCTCAGGAATGACTCCTGGTCGTGCTCAGGGGACCATATAGGGTGCCAGGGATCGAACCCAGGTCAGCCACATGCAAGGCAAACTCCCTACTTTCTGTACTATTGCTCTAGCCTCCCTCCCTCCCTCTTTCCTTCCTTCCTTCCTTGCTTCCTTCCTTCCCTCTCTCTCTCTCTCTCTCTCTTTTTTTTTTTTGGTTTGTTTTTGGGCCAGACCCAGTGGTGCTCAAGTTACTCCTGGTTCTGCACTCAGGGATCACTCCTGATGGGCTCTGGCACCTTATGTGGTAACCTGGGATCCATCCCAGGTGAGCCAAGTGCAAGGCAAGCACCCTGGACTATGGGTCCAGCCCCCTTTTTTTATTTTTTAATCTTAAACACCTTGATTTACAATACAACTGATGAGAGGGTTCGTGCATGCAATATTCCAACAATGCATCCTCCACTAGACCCACTGACCTCCCCCCCTCAACCAGCCCTCCCTCCCCCCTCCCTTCCTGTTAGTTTGGGGGATTGTTTTGGAGAAGAAGCAGGGTTGGGCCATATTAGATGGTGCTCAAGAGTTGATCACATGCAAGGCAGGTACCTTAACCCCTGTACTATCCCTTCCCCAACACACACACACACACACACACACACACACACACACACACAACTAGAAGGCTCGCTGGGGCACCAAAACCAAACGAAAACAAGAGAAAACTCTCTCCCCCACAGGCTAAATTGTCCACTGTCATTGTGGCTGGGTTAGACATTGTCCCCAAAGCATCTCAAGTCCCCATTTGCTTGGAGAGGAGAGGGGCCAGGGAGGAAGATTCTCCTCTCCAGGGCTGGTCTGGAGGGGATAGGCAGAGTTCTTGGGAGGAAGAAGAGAAGATGGCTCTTCCGCAGGACACAGGGCTCCGTGGCAACCCATCCCGCTGGGAGAGGGAAGATGAGTCCCGGCGAGGCTCTTCCTTCTCACGATCACTCCCAGCGTGTTGGGCAGGCTGCAGTCAGAGACGTTGCCAGAAGGGTCTGACTCCGAAGGAAAGCGTTCCCATGGCTACCGCAGCTTCCGGGGCTGGGGGGTTCACTTGGGGGGTGCTAGCCTGTCTTTTCTCTCCGGGCGGGCTCCCCCAGAGGCCTCAGCGGTGGCAGCAGCACCCGGCGGGTGTCTCTGGCTGAGAATGAACAACAGGCAGCCCAGCAAGGCCTCCCGCAGGCTCTGGGAGCGCAGGCGGCTGGCCAGGCCGCGCAGCAGGGGCAGGAGGTGCTGGCGGGCCAGGCGGGCTGCTGGCAGCAGCAGGCGGGACAGGAGCATCCGTAGCAGCAGCGGGAGCAGCGGGGCTGGCATGGCGGGGACCCTCGGCTCAGCTCTTCCGTGTCCTCCCTGGCCAAAACCTGGGGGGAGGGGGGCCCTGGGGCGGGCAGGAGAGTCTCAGTACAGTAGAGACAAAGAGATAAAGCAAGTGGACCCTCGGCTAGGGCCTAAGGCTTTTTTTTTCTTTTTTGGGTCCCACCCGGTGATGCACAGGGGTTCCTCCTGGCTCTGTGCTCAGGAATTATCCCTGGCGGTGCTCAGGGTACCATATGGGATGCTGAGAATCGAACCTGGGTCGGCCAAGTGCAAGGCAAATGCCCTTCCTGCTGTACTATCGCTCCAGCCCCTGGGGCCTAAGGATTGTCCCCCCCACCCCCACCCCCCGCCTCCTGACTTTCCCTGGACACTTTCTTCGTCTGGTCAAAGCCCTCCACACCTCTTGGCTCCTGCTCCCCCCTCAGTACCTGACTTTCTCCTACACCGGAAGTCCTCTAGGCTTTACCAGGGAGGAAAATCTTCATTCACCTTCACCTGATTTCCCAGCGCCTCAGCCCATGTACACACACACACATACACACACACACACACACACACACACTCACACACACGACCCCAGCTCTCACACAGACACACTGACTCACACACACCCGCACACACGGCTGGCAGCTCTCACCCAGAACTCCTGCTCCTGAAGGATCTCAGACTGAATGTGAGACTCAGCACAGCCTCCCCAACCCCACCCACGACAGCTTGCAGGGGGGAGGGGGGCAGGGAGCAAGGGAGAACAGCTGCCTTTGGACGGACGTGGACATGAGGGACTTGGATGGGAGGGGCCGTGGGCTGGAAGAAGATCCAGGATTTTTAGCCAGGGAAGATCTTGAATTTGAACCCGGACTGCACGTTCCCAGGGTGTGAATGTAGGCACCGTGAGTCTCCTGGACTCCGGTTCCTCAGTTCCTCTGTAAGTGGGAGGGACAGGGAGCAAGAAGCAGCGGGGACGGTGGATCAGATCCTGTCACCCACACTCCAGGGCAGTAAGGCCACAGCCTAGGCCACAGGCTTTGATGCGGCAATTAGGACCCAGGCGATATGGAACCAATTATAGAAGAGAGTGTCCCTCCCGGGCAGGCTCAGAGCTGGTCTCATGGCATCTCCATTCAGACGGGAAGATGGATTCTGGGCCTTGGCAGATAGTACAGCGGGTGGGACACTTGCACATGCCCACCTGAGATGGATCCCCAGCACCCCATATGGCCCCCCAAGTCCAACAGGAATGATCCCTGAGTGCAGAGCCAGGAGTATGCCCTGAGCACCACTAGGTATGCCCCTTCCCTTCCGAAGAGGGATCCTTACTTTGAAGTCCGTGGGCCCCACGGGTGGCTTATGTGAAGCAGGGAGGAGCGAGATGGTCCCTCTCTCCCCATTCGCCTCTGTCACCCTGAGACCCAGGGTTACCAGTTTTGTCTCGATTCGCAGAAAAGAATTTCAGGGCTACTGATCAAGCTGCTTAACGGCCACGATCCCAGAGACTCAGGAACAAATCTCGGAACCCAGCAGGTTTTGGTAGAAATTTCTCCAGATTTAATTGTTAAAATTTCAGAATTCCAAAATCGTGCGGCCACTACTGTGGCCGCGTGACATCATATGTTATTCATAACCAGCAATAGAAAACAAATTGTCTACAGTTGCCTCTTTGGCAGAACTGAGTGTTGGGGTAAAATCCCAAATAATAATGGTGGGTCTGGGGTCGGAATATTGAATGAAATCAAAGTGGAGAGAGAGTAATGTGGAAATCATCTGCCCCACAGGTAAGGGGAGGGTGTGGGATGGGGGGCATACTGGGGTTTTTGGTGGTGGAAAATGGGCACTGGTGAAGGAACAGGTGTTTCATCATTGTATGACTGAGACTTAAACCCCAAAGCTTTGTAACTGCTCTCACGGTGATTCAATAAATAAATGAATAAAACAAACAAACAAGAATTTCAGGAGTAGACAAGCAGCAGTGAAGTCAAAACAGATTTTATTTGGAGGCTTTTAAGAAGGGGAAGGAGAGAGAGAATGTGAGAGAAGGTAACGCGCTTAGGAGAGAGTGGGGGCTTCTCTAAGGGCAGAGAGAGCCCCTATACACACCCCAGCATTGGATATGAAAATATGAAAGTACACATCTCAAGAGGGGAGATGCGGGCGACACATATGCTTGCTCGGGTGCTACATGGGCACAAGCAGCACGTGGGCCCAAGAAGCATATGTGTGGGCTGGAGCAACAGCATAGCAGGTAGGGCGTTTGCCTTGCAGCCGACCCAGGTTCAATTCCCAGCATCCCATATGGTCCCCCGAGCACCGCCAGGGGTAATTCTTGAGTGCAGAGCCAGGAGTAAGCCCTGAGCATCACCTGTGTAACCCAAAAAGAAAAAAAAAAGTATGTGTGTCCTTCCTTTGTTCAAGGTGGCTTTTATAGGGTTTTTCCAACCTGCCCCTACATGGGGCTTCTGCCTAGGTAAAAGTCCATTGGGAGGGTGGTTGCCAGAGGGTGGAATTGGGAGTGGTCGATAGTGTTCTTTGAAATTCCTTTCCTTTGTTCCTGCTGGAGCTTCTCTCTGAGGGGGGTCCAGCCTTCCAGCCTTCTCTGGGTCTGTTGCTGACTCCAGGTGAGGTTCTTATCATGCCTGAGCTCCTAGGGTGGGCTCTTCCGCAGGGTTGAGCTATTGGTTTTACTATGTCCCAGGAATTCTGTTGCCATGGGCCTTTCCCATGGCACCCTCTTCCCTACCCACGTTCCCTTATTACCCTCAAGATGAAATAAAATTCCGAGATAGAAGATACCGGTACAACCTGGTTTTTTGGTTGGTTTTGTTTCTTTTTGGTCCACACCCAGCAATGCTCCGGGGTTACTCCTGGCTCTACACTCATGAATCACTCCTGGCAGTGCTTGGGGGACCATATGGGATGCCGGGGATCAAACCAGGGTGGACCGCATGCAAGGCAAATGCCCTACCCGCTCTGGGCCCCCTATGTTTTGATTTTAAATTCCTCCTTCTTGGGCTGGAGAGATTGGTCAATGGCAAGCACATGCTTTGCATGCCAGAGGCCAGGGTTCAATATTCAGCCCCAAACAGTCCCCAAGAACTTCTGGATTTGGACCCAAAGGAAACACACACACACACACACACACACACACACACACACAAAACAACAACAAAAACAAACCCACAAAACTCATTCTGTTCTTTATAAAATAGGTCTCATTTCTGCCATGCTGGACTCCTGGCCATGAAACTACTTTGCAAGTGTCACAGCCTAGTGAATGTCATTGTCATCCGCCCAGCATTGGCCGCCAATAGCATCATCATGGAACTTAAATTCAGGGCCAGGGAGGTGACTCAGCAGGGATCTTGCCTTGCATGTGTGAAGCCTGGGGTCTGTCCCTGACACCATGATATGATCACGGTCACGGGCTTCCTGTTGTTCGCTGATTTGCTCGAGCGGGCCCAGTAACGTCTTCATCGTGAGGCTTGTTGTTACTGTGTTTGGCATATCGAATATGTCACGGGGAGCTTGCCAGGCTCTGCCGTGCGGGTGAGATACTCTCGGTAGCTTGCTGGGTTCTCTGAGAGGGGCGGAGGAATCGAACTTGGGTTGGCCATGTTGGCCGCTTGTAAGGCGAACGCCCTACCGCTGTGCTATTGCTCCAGCCCATAAATGCAAATAAATTTTTAAGGGGCTGGAGAGGTTGTTGGGTGGGTAAGGTGCTTGCCCAAGCACTGTCAGGAGTGATCCCCGAGCTCAGAACCAGGAGGAAGCCCCGAGCATGGATGAATGTGAAACAAAAATCAAGATAAAAATGAATTTTGGTTGATAGGGCCAGAGTGATAATACAGTTGGGTGGGGCACTTACCTTGCACGTGGCCAACCCAGGTTCAATCCCCGGCATCCCATATGGTCCTTCAAGTTCACCAGGAGTGATCCCTGAATGCAGAGCCAGAAGTAAACCCTGAGCACTGCTGGGTGTGGCCCCCAAACAAGAAACAAAACACAAATTTTCTTAAAAACTTTAGAAAGGTCACTCTACGTCTGGCCAGAGGCAGCTGAGGCAGTGCCAGCGGAAGAGAGATTTCTCTCCTTTCTTTTCTGCCAGTGGCTTCCAGAGACACCGCAATGACTGTGTCCTCCCTGACCTGTGCACAGGCTATGTCCACACGCATGTTGCATGGTGAGTTTAGGAACGCACACCATTCTAATTGCCACACCACGGGGGAACAGTTAACCTAACCGTTGAGCAAATGAAGACACAGGTTCCTAAAACCACAAAGCTGATACACCCGAAGAACTTCTGGCCCCCAAGAGCTCTTATTTTTCTGTTGCTGCGTCCCCAATGCTTGGTCATTTGTCATAAGAATGAATAGTGCGAGGGGTTGGAGAGACAGCACAGTGCGTAGGGCGCTTGCTGTACTCTGACACCTCAGATTCATTCCCTGGTATCCCATATGGTCCCCTGAACAACGCCATGAGTAATTTCTGAGCATAGGGCTCGAAGTAACCCCTGAGCATCACCAAGTGTGACCCAAAAGAGAAAGAAAGAAAAACAAAAAGCTGGAGAGACAGTGTGGAGGGGAAGGCTGACCCGGTTTAATCTCCCACACCCCATACGATTCCTCAAACCCACTAAGAGTTACCCCTGAGAGCAAAACCAGGAGTATGACCTGAGCAGCACTGGGTATGACCTCCCCCTTAAAAAGTAGTGCGTGGGGCTGGAGTAATAGCACAGCAGGTAGGGCGTTTGCCTTGCACGCAGCCAACCCAGGTTCAATTCCCAGCATCCCATATGGCCCCCTGAGCACTGCCAGGGGAATTCCTGAGTGCAGAGCCAGGAATAACCCCTGTGCATCACCAGGTGGACCCAAAAAGAAAAAAAAAAGTAGTGTGTGCCAGGGAAATAGCTCAGAGGACTGGAACACATGCTTCAATGAGGGAGAACCAAGCTTAGTCACTGCTGGTCCAGCATGGTCTCCCAAGTATTGCTGGGAGCAATCCCCAAGACTAA